CTTATTTTGTGTTCTTTGGTGTTAAGGCACATTGACCCAGAAATCGCAAAGTTTGTGTAATGAGACCAAAATAACACAACACTGTCTTTTCGCTTCCATATGACTAGAAAGAAGACGAATAAGCTTTGATTGTGCTTTTTTCAATTCGAATGGTGTTTTTTGGGTGTGCACCAGAATCACCCCCAACCAAAGCAAAAAGGTCTTTTGGGTTCCATCTACATAAAAAGATGATAAAGCTCTGTGGGCTTAGTTCAAATTGGTGTTTTTTGGGGGTAGAATGCACATTACCCAAAACCCGCAGAGTGACATTTTTGTTATCAGCCCAAACCAAGGATAGGTGTTTTTATTCTCTCTCAATAGAAAGAGGACGAATAAGCTTGCATTCTTCTTTCGGTGTTCAGAACCCCACAAATACACAGCGAAGCGTAATGCCGAAACAAAGCAAAACAGGTTGTTGTGGTTTGCAGCAACATAGAAAGAATAATCTTGGATTTCGCTTATTTCGTGGTCTCTGGTGTTAATGCACATTGACCCAGAAATCGCAAAGTGTGTGTAATGAGACCAAAATAACATAACACCGTCGTTGAGCTTCCATATGAGTAGAAAGAAGACAAATAAGCTTTGATTGTCCTTATTTCAATTATGGTGTTTTTTGGGTGTGCACCAGAATCACCCCCAACCAAAGCAAAAAGGTCTTTTGGGTTCCAACTACATAAGAAGTTGATAAAGCTCTGATTGGGCTTATTTCACATTGGTATTTTTGGGGTTAGAATGCACTTTCACCCAAAAATCGCAGAGTGACATGTTTGTTATCAGTCCAAATCAAGCATAGGTGTTTTGTTTCCATCTCAATAGAAAGAGGACGAATAAGCTTGCATTCTTCCCTCGGTGTTCATTCCCTCACAAATAGCAAAGCGAATTGTAATAAGCCTAAACAAAGCCAAACAGGTTCTTTTGGGTTGCAGCTACATAGAAAGAAGATTCTTGGATTTCGCTTATTTCGTGTTCTTTGGTGTTAATGCACATTGACCCAGAAATCGCAAAGTGTGTGTAATGAGACCAAAATAACACAACACTGTCTCTTCGCTTCCATATGCGTAGAAAGAAGACGAATAAGCTTTGATTGTGCCTATTTCAATTCGCATGGTGTTTTTTGGGTGTGCACCAGAACCATCTCCAACCAAAGGAAAAAGGTCTTTTGGGTTCCATCTACATAAAAAGAAGATGATAAAGCTCTGATTGGGCTTAGTTCAAATTGGTGTTTTTTGGGGGGTAGAATGCACATTTACCCAAAAATCGCAGAGTGACATTTTTGTTATCAGCCCCAACCAAGGATAGGTGTTTTGGTTCCATCTCAATAGAAAGAGAACGAATAAGCTTGCATTCTTCTTTCGGTGTTCATTCACTCACAAATAGCAAAGCGAATTGCAATAAGCGTAAACAAAGCCAAACAGGTTATTTTGGATTGCAGCAACATAGAGAGAAGATTCTTGGATTTCGCTTATTTTGTGTTCTTTGGTGTTAAGGCACATTGACCCAGAAATCGCAAAGTTTGTGTAATGAGACCAAAATAACACAACACTGTCTTTTCGCTTCCATATGACTAGAAAGAAGACGAATAAGCTTTGATTGTGCTTTTTTCAATTCGAATGGTGTTTTTTGGGTGTGCACCAGAATCACCCCCAACCAAAGCAAAAAGGTCTTTTGGGTTCCATCTACATAAAAAGAAGATAAAGCTCTGATTGGGTTTAGTTCAAATTGGTGTTTTTTGGGAGTAGAATGCACATTTACCCAAAAATCGCAGAGTGACATTTTTGTTATCAGCTCAAACCAAGGATAGGTGTTTAGGTTCCATCTCAATAGAAAGAGGACGAATAAGCTTGCATTCTTCTTTCGGTGCTCAGTCCTCCACAAATAGCAAAGCGAAGTGTAATAATCCTAAGCAAAGCCAAACAGGTTCTTTTGGGTTCCAGCTACATAGAACGAAGAATCTTTGATTTCGCTTATTTCAAGTCGTGTTCTCTGGTTTTAATGTACATTGACCCAGAAATCGCAAAGTCAATGACCTTTTTGCTATGGTTGGGGGTGATTCTGGTGCACACCCAAAAAACACCATGCGAATTGAAATAAGCACAATCAAAGCTTATTTGTATTCTTGCTGCGCATGAAGCGAAAAGACAGTGTTGTGTTATTTTGGTCTCATTACAGACTCTTGTACGCTTATTTCAAGTCGGGTTCTTTGGTGTTAATGCACATTGACCCAGACATCGCAGTGTGTGGAATGTGACCTAAATAACACAACACCGACTTTTCGCTTCCATATTCGTAGAAAAACGACAAATAAGCTTTGATTGGGCTTATTTCAATTCGCATGGTGTTTTTTGGGTGTGTACCAGAATCTCCCCCAACCAAAGCAAAAAGGTCTTTTGGGTACCAACTACATAAAAAGAAGATGATAAAGCTCTGAGTTGGCTTATTTCAAATTGGTGTTTTTGGGGTTAGTACGCACTTTCACACAAAAATCGCAGGGTGACATGTTTGTTATCAGCCCAAATCAAGCATGGGTGTTTTGGTTCCATCTCAATAGAAAGAGGACGAATAAGCTTGCATTGTTCTTTCGCTGTTCAGTCCCCCACAAATAGCAAAGCGAAATGTAATAAGCCTAAACAAAGCCAAACAGGTTCTTTTGGGTTCCAGCTATATAGAACGAAGAATCTTTGATTTCGCTTATTTCAAGTCGTGTTCTCTGGTGTTAATGCACATTCACCCAAAAATCGCAGTGACCTGTTTGTTATCAACCCAAATCAAGCATAAGTTTTTCAGTTCCATCTCAATAGAAAGAGGACGAATAAGCTTGGATTGTTCTTCTGGTGTTCATTCCCCCACAAATAGCCAAGCGAAGTGCCCAAACAAAGCCAAACAGAATGTTTTGGGTTCCAGCAACATAGAAAGAAGAATCTTGGATTTCGCTTATTTCGTGTTCTTTGGTGTTAATGCACATTGACCCAGAAATCGCAAAGTGTGTGTAATGGGACCAAAATAACACAACACTGTCTTTTCGCTTCCATATGCGTAGAAAGAAGACAAATAAGCTTTGATTGTGCTTATTTCAATTCGCATGGTGTTTTTTGGGTGTGCAACCAGAATCACCCCCAACCAAAGCAAAAAGGTCTTTTGGGTTCCATCTACATAAAAAGAAGATGATAAAGCTCTGATTGGGCTCATTTCAAATTAGTGTTTTTTGGATTAGAATGCACATTCACCCAAAAATTGCAGTGACCTGTTTGTTTTCAGTCCAAATCAAGGATAGGTGTTTCGGCTCCATCTCAATAGAAAGAGGACGAATAAGCTTGGATTGTTCTTCCGGTGTTCATTCACTCACAAATAGCAAAGGGAAGTGTGAGACGCCTATACAAAGCCAAACAGGATGTTTTGGCTTCCAGCTACATAGAAAGAAGAATCTTGGATTTCGCTTATTTCAAGTCGTGTTCTTTGCTGTTAATGCACATTGACCCAGAAATCGCAAAGTGTGTGTAATGAGACCAAAATAACACAACACCGTCTTTCCGCTTCCATATGCCTCGAAATATGACGAATAAGCTTTGATTGGGCTTATTTCAATTTGCATGGTGTTTTTTGGGTGTGCACCAGAATCACCCCCAACCAAAGCAAAAAGGTCTTTTGGGTTCCATCTACATAAACAGAAGATGGAAAAGCTTTGATTGGGCTCATTTCAAATTGTTGTTTTTGGGGTTATAATGCATAATCACCCAAAAATCGCAGAGTGACCTGTTTGTTATCAGCCCAAATTAAGCATAGGTGTTTTGCTTCCATCACTATAGAAAGAGGACTAAGAAGCTTGGATTGTTCTTTCGGTGTTCATTCCCCCACAAATAGCAAATCGAAGTGTCAAACAAAGCCAAACAGGTTGTTTTGGGTTCCAGCTACATAGAAAGAAGATTCTTGTCCTTCGTGTTCTTTGGTGTTAATGCACATTGACCCAGAAATCGCACTAACCCTAACCCTAACCCCTAACCCTAACCCTAGCCCTAGCCGTAGCCCTAACCCCAACCCTGAACCCGAACCCAACCCTAACCCCTAACCCTAACCCAACCCTAACCCTAGCCCTAACCCCCTAACCCCTAACCGTAACCCTAAACACTAACCCTAACCGTAAACCTAACCCTAACCCCTAACACTAACCCTAACCTAACCCAACCTTAACCTTAGCCCTAGCCCTAGCCCCAACCCCAACCCTAGCCCTAACCGTAACCCTAACCCTAACCCCTAACCCTAACCCTAACCCAACCCTAACCCTAGCCCTAGTCCTAACCCTTAAACCTAACCCTTAACCCTAACCCTTACCCAACCCTAACCCTCTAACCCTCTAACCCTCTAACCCTCTAACCCTCTAACCCTCTAACCCTAACTCCAACCCTAACCCTAACCCCAACCCCTAACCCTACCCCTAACCCCTAACCCCCCAACCCTAACCCGAACCCCCCAACCTTAACCCTAACCCCTAACCCCTAATCCTAACTCTAACTCTAACCCCTAACCCAACCCTAACCCTAAACCCTAACCCTAGCCCTCTAACCCTAACCCTAACCCTAGCCCTAACCCTAGCCCTAACTAATCACTTGCCCCTTACCCCTAATCACTTACCCCTAATGCCTAAGCTCTTACCTCTTATCTCTGACCCCAACCCCAACCCCTAAATGTGGTTACATACCCTTAATCCATTACGCCTAACCACTTACCTCTAACCATTTCCCCTTCATTCCTATTCCCTAATTCCTAACCACTTACCCCTTACTTTAACCCCTTACAGCTAATCCCTATTCACTATACACTTACACCAAACCCATAATCACTTACCCCAATTCCTTACCCATAAACCCTTACCACTTACCCCTGATCGCATACCCCTAACCCTTAACGCCTAACGCCAAATCCATAACCACTTACAGCTAAGAGAGATTTATTGCAAGCAAAGTGTGCTAATAAATCTTGTGCCCACACGCTTCCTCTGGCGTGAGCTTTACAGAATACGCAATGTCATTGGACACTGATTGAAGTCTGAACGCTGTGCTTCTGGACAATGCCACTGCTTGACCTGCCGCCAGAAAGCCAGTGCTGGTGTCGGTAACCATGTAGTGCCCTGGGCAAGGGAAGAGATGTGTTCCAGTTGGATCTTCTTCTGGACTGGAAACCCCGGGGGTCATCCAGTCCAACCTGCTGCAAGGCGCCACTCACCCTCCGGCATACCCAGGGTGTGGTCGTCAAGCAGACCTTGTTCCAAGGCGCCACCCCACCACACCCACCCGGTGGGGCCTGCTCCTAGTAAAGGACGAGGGCTGATGGTATCTGGAGCCATTCCTTTCCTCCCAGCGCCCATCTGCAGGGTAGATGACCCAGGGTGTGCCCTCCAGCTCTACAATGCTATCATTCTGTGACGTTGTAAAGCAGGACATGCTCAAAGCAGAGGGTGCTGGATTTTAGTGCTGCACAGGGTGCTGCCCCTGGGTGGGCTCAGACCCAGCAGGGAATTTGGTTTCCATGTAACATGGCTACTCTATTTCTGGCATGACAAGATACACGAGGAGAAAACACTTTCCTGTCTCCTATGGCGGCCAGTTCCACAAAGGCATATGGCAGGCCTCAAATTCCCTGCAGATGCTCACCACACTGGCTCTCCTCTGTGCCATCATGGCAGTCAGGTTCGAAGTCGCACATTTGCTCTCTGCTGATGCAGAGCACGCTGTCGTCGTCGCAGGCAAACTGGCCATCCTTGCAGGTGCCGGGGTGTGTGTGGCTTGCTGGGGGTAACAGAGAACAGGCCTAGATGGGGAGGGAAGGAGGTGTCAATGTCCGGGACTGGTGGGAGGAATACATATGGGAGGATGGCTCCATCCCATGAGACTCCTCATCTGTGGGTTTTGGGTTCCAGCCAAAAAAATTGGGTTGGATGACACTCAGTGTCCCTTCCCATTCTCCTATTCCCATAGGGCGGTTCACAAGACACACACAGAGAGAAACTCACTCACACATACATGGGTACACACACATATACGACCCATTTAAAATATTTTTGAAGAAAGGTTATAAAGAGAACTAGAGCCTTATTTCTACTCCTTTTTGCCTCACTGCTTTGTTGGATGCAACCGGGAGACAGGATCAGGTCATCCAGAGCTATGCTGCTTTGGGGATCCTTCCTGAAGCCGCCCTCAAGGACAATCTGGAAGGAGGGAGCAAGGCAGATAGAAACCCGTCGCCAAAGGATCCCTTCAACCTGCGTTATCCTCTAAGCCTACCTCACAGGGTTGTTGCAGGGAACAATGGGCGGAGCGTACCATGGACTCCTTGGAGAAAACGGGGAGAGACCAAGGCAATAGGAAGCTTCTCCTTCCTTGAAGGTTTTGAAGCAAGGCTTTGATGGCTGTCTGTCCTGGATGCTTGAACTGAGATTCATTCCTTGTAGGGGGTTGGACTAATGACCGCCACGCTCCCGTCCAACTCTATCATTCTACGTTTTTTGAAATAAGCTCTCCTGCTTAATGAAGTTGGAGGGCCCAGCCAGACGGACATGTCCATTGCCAACCTGGCACCCAGAGATCTCCATGCAGTTGCAGTTGGCCCCACACCTGTGGCAAAATGCACCTGGCGAATGCTGAACCCTGAAGTTAGGGCGGGGCAAAACCCACCACCATGGCTGTCAAATTCCTGGCAGCACCAGCACTCCTCTGCCTTTATATGGATTGGGACAGGAACATAAAGGCACCTGGAAGTCCTTGGTGCCGTTGAAAGTGGCCTCCTCGGGGAACAAGAAGTTGCTGGCACGGCTGCGGATCAGCTCCCTCTTCTTTTCCATCTGGGACTAGATGTTCAGGCAGTTGGCGTCCAACCCATGCAGCTGGAAGGGAAACGTAGCGCTAGAGCCAAGGGTCCAACCCACTTGGCAGCAGGCCTATTATAGGGTCAGCCAATATTATTAATATTCAATAATTCTCATCATATTGGCCACCCGATGAAAGCCAAATCTGGGTCAGAGGGAGGAAATATCAGTGCTGAAAGATGGGTGAGACAACAGAGTGGTGGTGGCTCCCATATTTCTGTAAATAATAAATGGTAAATGATAATAATCTGCCCCAATATTTCCGTAAATAATAAATAGTAAATGACGATGGTAATAGTAATAATAATGGGTTGTTTTCCCTTCATGAAACACACACACGTGTGTGTCCCTGCCTGCCCACCCAACAAAGGGACTCACGTGGCAGGACCCGTTTGCCGCCAGGGTGGGGCTGACTAGCTCAGCTCAACCTGAGTGGGTGCCGGCGACATAGATGAAGTAGCTTGTGCTGAGGCACAGCCAGCAAGATGCCATCCCAAGGGTAATATTTATTCATTTTGTGGACTGCAGGAGGCATCACCGTAGAACATACAGTATATCATATTATATATATATTTTTTTACACCAGAGCTTTCCAAACGGCTTGTTGTGACACTCTATACATTGTATATAGAGTGCCCTTCATCCGAAGATGGTTGATCAATATAAATTATCTATCTATCTATGGACACACACACATATACATACACATAACCATATATATATATATATATATATTGTCAAGGCTGCCTCAAGTCTCAGCTCACAAAAGACCAACGCCTATGTCTTCTTATATACAAAGGTGTTTATTGCAGTTCATGGTTTGCTTGACATCCTAGGCGCGCAGCCTTACGTCTCTTACGCTAGACCGCTGAAGTCCCCTCTGAGTCAGTCCCTCCCCTGCACCAATTTAAGAGACTTGCGCTGCTCCACCTCTTTCTCTCCTTCCTTTTCCGCAGGGTCCTTCTGCCCGCTGGGGTTGCGCCCCTTCTGGATTCCTCTGACGCTGAATCCCCAGACTGCTCTTCCACCCTCCTGCGGGCTTTGGGACCTGGCCCCTCCTCCGGGCTCCCTGTACTTCCGCGCGCCTCTACATTTGAACTAGGCGCGCGCGCCAAACCTCTAACTTTCCTTTTGACAGTTACACTACTCCCTTCACTGCTCCCCTCCCCTTCCGGAAGGGCGGCTTGCTCTGCCCTCCCTCCTTTCTCTGCTCCCGGAGCTGCTTCCTCTGACACACTGGAAACTCCACCGCCTTCGCTGCACTCGGGCTGGGAGGCGGGTCCTGACGCCCAGCTGCCAAGTTGGGATCCTCCGCGGGCCCCTGCTCCTGACACGTCCCTCCTGGGGCTCCCTGGCCTTAACCACTGGCGCCCCTTCTGGGAATCCTCTGATTCGCTGGAAAGACTCATGGAATCTCTTGAGTCATTGTCATCCTCTTCCTCGCTGGCTTGGAATTCCTCCCCATCGCTCTCCATCTCCTGCCTACCCTGTCCCTCTGTCCCTGAACCCCTGACATATATATATATATATATATGTATATATATGAATACACACACACACACACACACACACACACACATCCATACATCCATTTTATTTATATACTGTACATATATCCATGCATATATATAGATACACATACACATACATATATCCACAAATCCATTTTATGTACACACACACACACACAGTCAAACCTTGGTTGTCGAACATAATCCATTCCAGAAGCCTGTTCGGCTTCCAAAACATTAGACAACATGACTTTCAATTGGCTGCAAGAGCTTCTTGCACTCAAGCAGAGGCTGCGTTGGAAGTTTGGCTTCCAAAAACTGGAGCATTTACTTCCAGGTTTTCAGCATTTTGGAGCCGAAACATTCCAAAACGGAGCAGTTTGGGAACTGAGGTTTGACTGTATATGCACTGATACACATATATCAATTATATATATATGATTCCTCTCTGGTATGCTGTAATTTGTGTTTTGTATGCCTGCTGCTATCTGTTAACCTTATGCAAATAAAGCATTGCTTATTCATCCACTGGCGTGCTTAGTGGCTCCAGATCCAGAAATAACCCTGCCCTTGGCAGAACATATACAGTGCTTTTTTCTGGGGGGACGCAGGGGAATGCATACCCCTAACCATTTTGTGAATGTACTTTTGTCCATTTACTGTATTTATTTTTCCCGGTTAGAACTATAAAATGGTGATTTTCTTGAGTCAAAATGAGAGTACCCCCAAACATTATTTTTAGAAAAGAAGCACTACATATATACACACATATATGCATATATCCATTTTATTTATATTTACAAACGCACACCTATATCTAGGTATGTAGATTCTTGTATATAAACTTCCGCGGCCCACCCGCACCATCCCTCCGCCCGAGGGGCACGAGAGGAAGGCCACTGGGGGAGAAAGGCAGGTGAGGGCGGGGCGGGGGGCAGGGCTGCACCCTGGGGAGAGCGGGGTCGAGAGGGAGTGGGTGGGAGAGAGAGAGAGGGCCAGCCTGGATCGGCACGTCTCTGCAGGCCCAACGTCGCAGCGCCTCTTTCCCCTCCTCTTCCGGTCCTCTTGCCTCTCCTCCGCTGGCACCTCCTTCCGGTAATCCTACCCTCGCCCAACATGGCGGCAGCACAGCCTCTTCCGCCCGTTTCCCTCACCTTCCTGTGCTCATGCCTCTCCTCCGCCGGCACCTCCTTCCGGTAATCCTACCCTCGCCCAACATGGCGGCAGCACAGCCTTACCGCCCGTTTCCCTCCCCTTCCTGTCCTCTTGCCTCTCCTCCGCTGGCACCTCTTTCCGGTAATCCTACCCTCGCCCAACATGGCGGCAGCACAGCCTTACCGCCCGTTTCCCTCCCCTTCCTGTCCTCTTGCCTCTCCTCCGCCGGCACCTCCTTCCGGTAATCCTACCCTCGCCCAACATGGCGGCAGCACAGCCTTACCGCCCGTTTCCCTCCCCTTCCTGTCCTCTTGCCTCTCCTCCGCTGGCACCTCCTTCCGGTAATCCTACCCTCGCCCAACATGGCGGCAGCACAGCCTTACCGCCCGTTTCCCTCCCCTTCCTGTCCTCTTGCCTCTCCTCCGCCGGCACCTCCTTCCGGTAATCCTACCCTCGCCCAACATGGCGGCAGCACAGCCTCTTCCGCCCATTTCCCTCACCTTCCTGTGCTCATGCCTCTCCTCCGGCGGCACCTCCTTCCGGTACCCGTGCCCTCGCCCAACATGGCGGCAGCACAGCCTCTTCCGCCCATTTCCCTCACCTTCCTGTGCTCATGCCTCTCCTCCGCCGGCACCTCCTTCCGGTACCCGTGCCCTCGCCCAACATGGCGGCAGCATAGCCTCTTCCGCCCTTCCGAGCTAGGAGTGCAGAAAAAGGTGAGCCTGCCATGAAAAGAAAAGGAGGAGTGAGTGAGTGAGTGTGTGTGAGAGAGAAAGACAGGGAGCATCCTAGAATGGTAGAGATGGAAGGGAACCCGAGGGTCATCTAGTCCAACCCTCTGCAAAGAAGCTCAGAGCTACAATTCCCAGGTCGTCTTTGGGAATTCTGTGGGAATTGAGAGTTTCTACCTTCATGAGCATTCACTTGGAGTGCTCTCATGTTTTTACATTTTATTGAAAGCGGCCACAAGTGACTTGGGTGGAGTATAAATAATAAAATTATATTGCTCCTGCTGCTGTTCTTCTCTTAGCCTAACTCAAATCCAACCCAATACCAAACCTTAACCCTAATGCTCACCCTAACTCAAACCTAACCCTCACCCTCACCTTAACCCAAGCCTAAGCCTCAGTCTAAACCTAAACCTAATTTAACCCTAACCCTAAGTAATAAAATTATATTTCTCCTGCTGCTGTTCTTCTCTTACCGTAACTCAAACCCAACTCTAACTCTAACTCCTAACCCTGATCCAACTCAAACCCAACTCTCACTGTAACCCTAACCTTTACCCAACCCTAATCCTAAACACTTTGCTTCTTTTTGTGTTGTTTTGTGTTATTGCTTCATTTTGTAGGTCATGATGCTTCCTTTGTTTCTTGTGGTGTTGCTTCATTTAGCAGTTTTTTAATCGGCTTTTGTGTTTCTTTTGGTATTTGCATCATCTTCATAGGTTGTTTGGATTTCTGATTAATTTGCTTTTTTGCCAGTTCTCAATGATTTTGCCTTTCCATGGGTTTGTATTTCTTTGGGTTTCTGGTAGCTCTGCTTCTTTGTGATTTGTTTCTGTGTTTCTGGTGTTTTGTTTGTGATTTGTTTCTGTGTTTCTGGTGTTTGAGTTCTGGTGTTCTGGTGTTTGGTCATAAAATGGAATAAATACCACCAGAAGCACAAAAACCAATGAAAACCAAGCCAAATCAATGGAAAAGAAACAATCTCACCCAAAACCGCAGAACCATTCAAAGTAAAAGAAGCAAAACAATTAGATGCAAAAAACAAGCAAAACACCCCAAATTAAACAAATCAGCAGAAAACAAAAAAGAAGCAGTAAAGCCACCAATAACAAAGCAATGCCACAAGAAACTGGAAACCAATTTTTAAAAAGCAAAACCAGAAACTCAACAAGCATGCAATTTATGGCAATGGGGAGACTTTTCCAGTTTGACCTTGCAGAGAAAACATTTGGTCAGTTTAGGAATCAAAATGGTTCCAGGTTGGTCTTCCTGTCTTGATCTATGTATGTGCAGTTATGAACATTACCATGTATCTAAGGCCATAAAATTCCTATCACAGAGTCCAAAAGCACTTCAAGCAACAGAAATTAACCAACATAGCATACTAGTTTTCACTTAGTCTTGGGTTTCTGGTGAATGTGCTTTGCGGCTGGCTTCATTTCTCTTCCAATGGGTTTCGCTTGTTTTTTGGACTTTTGCTTTATTGCTTCTTTTGAGAAGTTTTCTTGTTTTTGCATTCTGGTGGTAATACTTTTGAATGCTTGGGTTTCTGGTGAATCTGCTTTGTTTGGGGTTGGTTGGCTTCTTTGTCAGTTTCCATTGATGTTGCTTTTATATGTTTCTTCTGCTTCTTTTCAATAGGTTTTTGTGTTTTTAGTGGTTGACTTCATTGTTGGAATGGTGATTAGACATTTCTGGTGGTTTTGCTTCATTTCTGGTGGTTTACCTTTTTTTCTTGGGATTATCAGATCTCATAAAAATTAATAAACTCAAAGGTGCAAAACCCAAAAAACCTAGAAATGAAGCAAACTCACCATAAATCCAGCACCCAATCTGTTATGTACTAACCTTGGATCCTAGAAAAATAGGCAAGTAGGATCCTAGAATGCAACAACTGATTGGCCTTTTCCTCCCGGCCAATCAGGCTCCAGGAGGGAAGCAGAGTTAGCCAGTCAGATGGGACTCATTGTGTAAATAATGTATATAAAAGCCTGAGGTTTGGGTGGGCAATAAAGAGCATGAAATACATACAGGACTCCGAGTATATTTCACAGTCGTAACTTATATAAAAGAATCCATGAAATGAAAACCACCCCAAAAGAAACAAATTCAACATAATCCCAAAAACGAACCAGAAACAACAGAAACAAACCACATCCACCAAAGATGAGAAAACCAATTGAATAGAACCACAAGAAACCCACGCAGTAAACATCTCAGGGAAAAGTGAAATCACCCCCACACCATGCAAAACTAAGGTTTAACTGGCTTTGGGGGGCGCCTCTGATAGAGGCTCAAGAAACGATCCACGCCCCCCGTCTTGCCCAATATCGTTGCCCCCTTCTACTCTACGCAGACGACGCAGTGATCCTATCCTTTTCAAGAGTCGGCCTTAGGAGGGCATTAAAAATTTTCGATGTTTACTGTAAATCAAATTTTCTTACAATTAACCATGTTAAGTCCAAAGTTCTAATTTTCACCAAGAGTAGAAAAACCTATAATTGGAGAATAGACGGAAAAGCTATTGACCAAGTCTTTAAATTTCAGTACTTGGGAGTCTTCCTCCAACACAACATGGGCTGGAAGGTCCATGTTGCATATGTATTAAACAGAGCTAAAGCCCTTTCCTATGCGCTATTGCGTTTTTCTTTTCAGATGGGGCTTTCCATATTCCATCAGTGTTAAAAGTTTTCAAGGCAAAGGTGATTGCAACAATAGCATATGCAGTCCCATTATGGGGGTCCTTTGCTAATCTAACCCAGTTGGAGGTAATCCAAAACCAGCTTTTAAGAAGGTTGTTAAAATTACCTAGGTGTGTAAGCAATACTGCTATACGACTGGAACTAAATGTTACATCTCTAGAAACCACATTATGGAAATGCATCCTCTGTTACTGGTTGGCTTTATGGCATAAACTTCCAAATCTCCACCTGATACAATGCCTCTGGAGAGATGACTTCCTAGCCCCTGGGCAAAAATAATACATGGGAAACTTGTGTCCCTAGGACTATCTCCATCCGAACTATTAAAATTGGATTTAACTTCGGCCAAAAGAATTATAACTCACAAATTAGAGGAGATGGATTTACAATTTAATATTGCGACAGGTGGAGGCACCTGTTCGCCGATAAACCTTGGCTTAACTCCACCAACGAAACTTCCATCTTACTTAACTACCTTATCTGTGGTGACGCACAGGTATGCCTTTATAATGGCTAGATTCAATGTTTTCCCATCAAACGTGTTGGGTAACAGACTCTCCAACGGACAGATCTCACTCCTCTGTGACTGTAAAAGCGGATCTATAGAATCGTTATATCATATAATCTTCTGTTGTCCATTACATTCGGCTTCACGGTCCAAGTTTCTGGCCCCATATTTATCGAGAATTGCTGACAGTCCTCAGGAAGCCCAAATAATATACTTATTAAACGACGAAGATACAAGTAGATCCCTTGCAATCGCTAGATACCTGATTAATGTTTTATTTCAAAAGAGGAGAAATGGATCACTGTATGTTTCTGACAGCTTAGCTAAACTTAAGAACCATCAATAAGTGCCAGAACTAAGACGTATACCCCCAAAATCTGATGGATCGGAATTGCGGTTTACATAGAGGGAGCTTATTGTGTATAGTGTTTACTTAACTAAAGTAAAATTGGTTTTATAAGGGTGTTTTAACTTGGAACTGTTTAAATTGTATTGTTTATGGATAAATTCTGATGTATTGTTTTTTATATGGGCCAATGGCCGTAATAAATCTAAATCTGAATCTGGCTTTGGGGTTTCTGCGCAATTTACTTTTCCCCTCTTGTTGGGGGTTTCTGGTGGTCTTTCTTCTGCTTCTCACATTTCTACTTCTTTTCAATTGGTTTTGGGATTCTGGTGAATTTGGTAATGATTTGATTGAAGTTTCTGTCTGGCAATTTTCATTTTTCACGAATTCCTTCCTTGTTGGGTTTCTGGTATCTCACTTTTGGTTTTCGCATTTCTCTTAGTTTTGCTACGTTTCAGGTAGTTTGCTTACTTTTTGGAATTATCCAGTCTCATAAAAATGAAGCAATATCATTAGAAGCTTAAAAAGCATGAAAAAAAAATCCAGGCACTAACTCTAACCCTGAACATCCACCTATCCCCTGCCCTAAACCTAACCCTGATATTCTGGTCATCCATATTGGGGATAACAATCTGGTGAGGTAAATTCCGTTGAGATCACTAAATATCTCCATCAGCAGTGCTTCCTCATCCCTGAGCTTGTCATAGTTTGGTTTGGAATGTTTGGTTTGGAATGTTGTAGAGGTGCTTATGGAGTGGGGGCACCTTCCTAAGAAGGTGGATGGGCAAGACATAAAGCTAATCATTCTACAACGACGTTTGTGTTTGAGAATGTGGGTTTGGCGGTGAAAACAGAAGGGTTTTTATCCTAGGCTAAGAAATCAGGCCTTGACGCCTTAAGGTGCGGAAAAACTTTTTTTGAAAAAATCCCTAACCTGCGGGGTCAGAATTTCACCAAAAATCTCACATTATGCAATTCACTCAAAATTGGTGCCAACCTGTTGAAAATGCTCCCCTGAAAGGTTTGGTGGTGAAAACAGAAGGGTTTTTATCCTAGGCTAAGAAATCAGGCCCCAACGCCTTAAGCTGTGGAAAATATTTTTTTGAGAAAATCCCTAACCCGTGGGGTCAAAATTTCACAAAAAATCTGACGTTATGAAATTCACTCAAAAATGGTGCCAACCTGTTGAAAATGCTCCCCTGAAAGGTTTTTCGGTGGAAACAGAAGGGTTTTTATCATCGGACAAACAATTTGCCCTCGATGACATAAGTTGTGGAAAAAACATTTTTTTTTAAAAAGATCCCTAAACCGCGCGGTCACACTTTCACCCAAAATCTGATGTTCTGCAATTCACTCAAAAATGGTGCTAAACTGTTGCAAATGCTCCCCTGAAATGTTTTTCGTTGGAAACAGAAGGGTTTTTATCATCGGACAAACAATTAGTCCTCAACGTCTTAACTTGCAGAAAAACATTTTTTTGAAAAAATGTCTAAGCCGTGCGGTCACAATTTCACCCAAAATCTGACGTTCTGCAATTCACTCAAAAATGGAGCCAAACTGTTGCAAATGCTCCCCTGAAAGGTTTTTCGGTGGAAACACTTCCAGGTTTGGTGCTGTGCATGTGTGAGTATTTGCACACATATTCGTGGCACCTAAAATGCAGGTTGTGTGTATTTTTCTTTGACACCATCTGAGCAGCCATTTATTTCCTTCCAGCATTTCCTTCTCTTCCTGTCTCTTCTTTAAGGGTAGGCCCTTGTTGCAAGAAAAATCAACGATCAGAGAGGGGATCATTAAGTAAATTTATATACAGACCAGACTGTATTCTTATGCCTATTGCCTTTTACCATTCGCTATGTAACTGTATCTTTAAACTGTTAGTTTTGTGTATATTATCTCTTTGAACATAGTTAAAACGTCTAAGCATTTTAAATATAGTTTTGTATAACTTTGTATCGCTATTTACAGTGGTGCCCCGCAAGACGAATGCCTCGCAAAACGAAAAACCCGCTAGACGAAAGGGTTTTCCGTTTTTGCGTCGCTTCGTAAGACGATTTCCCCTATGGGCTTGCTTTGCAAGACGAAGGGCTTGATCCGCGCCGCGCGCAAACCGCTTTCACCACCAATCTATCTATGCGGCAGCGGGGAATCTAATAGTAATAGCAATCAATACATTATTAGCGTCCGGAAACACAGCCGGTGGTGATGCTGCCCCGCGCCGCTTCGAAAAGTTCCTAGGCTTCAGCCTTAGAACTGGGAGGGGACCTGGCGGTGACACCCGGCTCGGGGTGGATTTCCCGTCTGCGCTCTTAGCGCGCGGCGACCGCTAGATCCCGAGGACGGCAGACTGGGCGGGGGGGCATGAAAAGTTTTGCCTGCCCATCTCCGAGGAAGCGGGGGGAGATGATCCCTGTCAAGGGAAGAAGGGGGCACCCATTTGCCAGCAGCCGGTGCCCCCGAACCGAGGCTGGCACCATCGCCTGTCAAAGTGACCGCAAAGGCGAGCTCCGGTCATGCGGCCGAGGGAAGCCCCGCTGTGGGTCGTCCAAAGTCAGCCCGAGCATGCCAGTCACCTAAAAGGCATGGAGAGACGGAGGGAGCGCGCGAGGATCCCGGTGCAGAGGAGGCTCCTGCAGCAAAATAAAGGCAGCCGGCAGCCGGAGGGCTCCAGAACATGGAGCTGCGGCGGGGCCGTCGATGGTGTTGCCGGAGACTCCTCCCTCTGGGCCTCGCTCTCTCCGCTTTCGCCGCTGCTTGCCCTGCCTGCGATCGGCCGGGCTCATCGCTCCGCTCTGCAGAGCGCTGCACAAAGGCGCGGCGGGACAGGTGTCCGGGGACGCTTTGGCTGAGCGCGCCCCGGGATCGGAGGTGCGGAGTGCTTGCTGCAGATCTTATCTTCTGGGGTCACTGGGATGGCGGGGGTCGGGGCTTGTGTTATGTAAGCGCGTCAGGAGGGACTGCTTAAGAGGCCGGATGAGGCTTATGCAATGGCCAGATGCTCCCTAGGGGTCGAGGCTTGCAGTTGCGGGAACGAGTTTATACCTGTATCCGCTAAGCCGCTAATAGCCGTGCTTTGCAAGACGAAAAAAACCGCAAGACGAAGAGACTTGCGGAACGGATTAATTTCGTCTTGCGAGGCACCACTGTACTATGTTTTTATAACTTTGTGTCGAACCTTATATTGCTATGTAAACGAAGTGTAAAACACCCAGCGCCATCTACTGTGCCTGAAATGAAACACACACATATACCAGTCTATAGATTTTATTCAAATAAAGAAATGCAGACTAGGGCATCACACCCACTGAGATAAGCAATTCCCAAAATAAAATCCTGTCAACGATCTCCTTTGTCAGCCCACTGGGGCAGTTCTACAGTTTCCCTGTAAATAAAGGAAAACATAGCCATTAGCAGGATCGCTGGAAAACAGGAACCAGCCCAAACACCCCTTTGTGTACACCAAGCACAAACAATGACACAACCATTAACATGATTCTTCCCCTTCCAACACACCACTTACATGTTCTAATCCTCTCACCATGCCTTGTCTGATGTCTTCTGTCATTCATGTCTATGGAAATTAAAAGGTATAAATGTAAGAGTTCTCTTTTGTTTGAGCTTCTCTCTCCGTCGCCTGCTACGTGAGTGGGAACCCTGTTGCCAACAGTTCAGTTTTTAATAAAGATCAGGCTGATAGCCGCTTTGCTTTCCGTAAATCCTGTTCTGGTCTCTGTTTATGTCCCAACCGGTTTGAGCCTCAAAGCATGCTCCTTCTGAAGGTCCAGTCTTCCTTAAGAAACCGAACCCTTTTGGAGGGACTACGATTATTCCTATTTCACCCTGTCTCACTAAGGGGATGTCCTCACATACTGTTCCTTGGGAGAAGTCATCTGTACATGAACCAAGGTGCATGTGAAACACAGTCTCCTTTGGGGAGAATGTAAAAGTCACCATGTGTGGCTCTCCACTGAATAAACAGGAGTTCTACTCCTATGTTAAGACTCCCTGCATGTTCTTCACAGGGCTGTGTAGCAGGAACCCCCCACCCCAATCATTCAGTTTGTACAAACTTCACACACTCACACTCACACACTACATATGCCACACTTCTGTTATAAATTCATAGAAAAATCAACCATATATCGGATTTGCACTGTTCCATTTTTATTTTACTCCATATGACAAGGACTATCAAAGGGGGGTGGCTTGGTTTTGGTCAGCCATAATCCCTTCACCATCCCAGCACATCCACAGGAGCCCTGCCCAGTTGCTATGCCAACCCTGATGGTCCTAGACAGAAGACCATCAAGATCACAAAGAACTTGCATATGGGAGTGGATTCAGCATGAACTGAAACAAAGGACAATGATCAGATCTTCCCTCTGGGGGCAGGAAACTGCCAACTCCCCTTTGTCTCCTGGAAGTGACTCATGGGCAGGGGGGAAGGAGGAACCAGCCAGGTGACAGGACACTCAGGTTACCACCTCAACCCCTCCTTTCTGTAATGTATGCATGATGTCAACCCCTCCTTTCTGTAATGTATGCATGATGTTTCTGGGGGTGGGCTTGACCTAGAGGATGGGAATTTCAAAAGTTTTTATAAGGTCTTGCACACCATCTTTCTGGGTCTTTCCTCTCTCTTGCAAGTGAGGGGAACACCCTGTTGCAACAGTTCAATAAAGGCCAAGCCTACAGGCTGCTGTTTTGCTCCAAGTTATCCTGGTTGGTGTCTTTGTTTTTGTCCAAGGGAGCCCTCGGATTTTTCCGGTAACAGTTTGGCGACCATGCTCAGGGACACTTGGTTCTCCTGCGAAGGTGAGGAGGGAGATAGAGAGGATCAGGCGCCACTGGGCAACCTTAGCCCAGGAATCCTTCTTCCTCTCCCTGCCTCCTCTTTGCGGGCGGTAATCAATCGTCACCAAAAGCTCAACCAGGGGAAGCAAAGGCAAGGTCAAGCCGGCTAAAGAGAAAGGATCCCGGGATCCACGAGGGACATCTATGAACGTGAGTATGGTTTGAAGAAAATACATTGGGAGGGGGGTGGAAAGCAACGTCCCCATGACAGCTGGACCTTTTCTTCCTTCTATCTCTGGCGTTACCTCTCGGAGTCGTCCAGGAACGTCCTAAACTTTCTCTTTCTCTCCCCCTATTTCCCTTTCGGAGCTGGGCCGGGGAAATTGTGGAACCTTTGTTGTTTTCCGGCGTTACCTCTCGGAGTCGTCCAGGAACGTCCTAAACTTTCTCTTTCTCTCCCCCTATTTCCCTTTCGGAGCTGGGCCAGGGAAATTGTGGAACTTTTGCTGCTTTCCGACGTTACCTCTCGGAGTCGTCCAGGAACGTCCTAAAATCTCTCCTTTTCTCCCCCGTTTTCCCTTTCGGAGCGTGGCCGGGGAAAACGCGGTACTTTGCCATTTCTCTGACGTCCTCCCTCGGAGTCGTCCGGAGGCGTCCCTACAAATCTCCCTCTCTCCTTCTCTCCCCCGTTTTTCCCTTTCGGAGTGTGGCCGGGGAAAAACGCGGTACTTTGCATTTCTCTGACGTCCTCCCTTGGAGTCGTCCGGAGGCGTCCCTACAAATCTCCCTCTCTCCTTCTCTCCCCCGTTTTTCCCTTTCGGAGTGTGGCCGGGGAAAAACGCGGTACTTTGCATTTCTCTGACGTCCTCCCTCGGAGTCGTCCGGAGGCGTCCATACAAATCTTTCCTACTCTCTCTCTCTCTCTCTCCCCTGCTTACGCAAATGAAGCCGCCCCCCCCTGCTCGGCGACCCTTGTTGGGGATGACCCGGGTACGTGAGAACGCAAGGTCATTTGCTTCCTTTCTAAACTTTGTTTTCTCGGACCTCGATCTGGCACTGCATTGCGCAGGCGTCCAGTAGGGAGCCCGAATTTAGTCTAAAGGCTAGGCAGGAAGCTGTCATGGAGAGCAGAGCGGGAGGTTCACGAATTGGGGCCGCATACTAGGGTTAGTCTTGTAAACAGCGCTGAGGCAAAGGAATTCCGGATCCGTGGTTTGAGTTTCGGGCGAGGAGACCCGTGGTTTGAGTTTTGGGCAGGGAGACCCGTGGTTTGAGTTTTGGGCGAGGAGACCCGTGGTTTGAGTTTTGGGCGAGGAGACCCGTGGTTTGAGTTTCGGGCGAGGAGACCCGTGGTTTGAGTTTCGGGCGAGGAGACCCGTGGTTTGAGTTTCGGGTGAGGAGACCCGTGGTTTGAGTTTCGGGCAAGGAGACCTGTGATTTTTGTTTTAGGTTCATGACTGAGATTTTCCTGAAAGTAATTTGTGATTTACAGATAGGTAGGAATTGTGTTAGTCAAGGATACTTCGAGTACTGAAAGGATATTTTTTCCTGTCCCCTCTTTTCTTTTTTCCATTGCCCCTCTTCCCTTGTGTGTGTGTGTCCACTCTTTCTGTCTTTAGTGTACTTCGTTAACGAAAAAAAAACAAGAAAAAAAGAAAAGGAAAAAAAACCCCAGTAATAACATACGAGAGAATGGGAGCCCATGCTTCCAAGCATTCAGACTGGACTCCTCCAGGCGACAAAGCTTCCATGAAGCCTTTTTGCCCCAGAGAGGATACGCCCCTCCAGCTTGTCATCTCCAATTGGGAAAAATAAAAAATAAAATAAAGGGGCAAAATGGTCTTTCCAAGTACAAAGTACGAGACCGTTGTAACTTTTAGGGGGTGACTTAGGCCCACCACCTGGAACCCAGGGCACAGCGGCCACCTCAGGGATCCTTCAACAAAATCAGGGTGTGAACCCTTAGGGAGAGCTGAACACATCAAATTTGTGTTGTTAAACTATAACCTAAAGCTAGAACATGAAACCGTAAACTTAATGGTGCTCAGGAGGTAGTAGATATAATAACAGCCCAGCCTGAGAGCCCACGCATTAGAGATCTTAGTTTCTCTAAAAAATAATAAATAAATAAATAAAAATGAATAAGAGATGTACTCAAAGATTTAGAAATATTTCAACGGTTTGTATTTACATTGGCCTCGGCATCCACAGACTGTTCTTAAATGCACATAGTTTTAAAATTGCAAGCTTGCTTCAAAAATTTTAAATCTAAGAAAGCCATGTTGGGCCTTATCAATCTTAAACAGGACAAAAAAAAAAAAGGAAGAAGAATGAAGTGTGCAAATGTTTGTTATTTGAGAGAGGCTCCAAAGAGTCTTCCTCCGAGTAGCTTAAGTGAGGAGCATGATTTTAAGTTGATGGCAGATGATGTTTTGCTGCAACTTTTGAGTTTGTGAGTCTACATCCGTTTTCCAGTCTTTTTTGTTCCAGTATTTTGAAATGTGCTGTGAAGAAACTAATGTTTCTGCTGCAAAAGCCTAGTTGAGCCAACTGCTCTCTCAAGCTAAAATGCAGTGTATGTATTTCATTAAGCCTATGCCTATGAAAGTATGGTGTTCTTTCTAAGAAAAATTGTTATTAAATGTAGAGGTTTCCATGGCCAGCAAAAATTGTCTATCTGAGTCCAGTCCTGATATCAGTCTCTATAAGACTTCCTGGCCTCTTTTCTTAGAAAATGCCCCCCCTGGTTTCATTCTGTATCTTTCAGGTTTTTTCCCCTTCTTACTTCTGTGCCAGGTACATTTACTCCCGAGTAAGCTTCCTTTAAAGGAAACTGCAAAGAGGGGGGAGCAATCTTTCCTAAGGTACCCTGCATCTCACTTTCCTATGTGTAGTTATTAAAAAAAAATAATAATCTAAATTAGGCTTACTATTCCTCTGCAAGTTCAGGAAAAAAAATTGTTCACTTTTGTATTCCCTTTAAATCAAATCTATGGCTGTTTTAACTATGCTTAATAAAAGATCCTCTCCCTATCTTAGAAAAAACAAAACAAAAACCCTGTTCACTTCAATCTTCCTTTAAATATCATTTCTATAGGAACTTGCATTCTTTAGTCTAAGGAAGCAAACTCACTCAAACTATCTCAAGATCTGCTAAAAGGGTTCAGTGTAAAGTTGGGTACTTTTATTTTCCTCTTCCTTAGTACATGATAGGAACATAGATGTTTCCTTTCCCAGTTGTAAATCTGTACTTAAATGTGTATGTCTCTTTGGTAGTACAAATCTTGCTGTGAAATCTTGCTGTGAACCCTATATTTTGGAGGGTTGGACTAGATGACCCCAGGGTCCCTTTCAACTCTCCCAATTTGTGGCTGTGTGGAAGGACATGTGTCTGCAAGCATTGGAGGGTAATTCTTAAATTCTGGTGTGGTGATGGAGTTGAAATTCAGCCTAGCTTTGCTCTTTAGTTTTAAAAGGTGCGAGGTGCAGCCGTGATGTTTTTGAAGCACAACTGGTAATATCAAACATTTGAGTGATTACAGTGTTTATCATTTTGTCTACTATTTAAAAATCAGACTTCAAAGTTAATTCAAAGTTTCAGCACATACAAATACATATGCACCTTGACCAATCCTGTAAATAAAGGGCAGAAAAAGAAATTTTTGTCTGCAAATGGTAAGGCTGAAATGACTGAGAATGTTAAAAAAATAATCCTATGAATTCTGACTCTCTGGCCATTTCCCCCATATATAAGGGCGTGGCATTGTTCCGCGAATGGCCAGAGGGATATTAGCCCTTTCCTGTACATAAAGGAAGCAGTCCCTTTGCTTGGGCTGCAATTGCTAGCTTTAGTGAATACTTGAATCGCTGAGTTTCTCTTTTTGTTTTAAAATCTAACCCTATTTTTAAAATCTACTCCTTACCCTTCCCTTCCCTTATTCAAATGGTAATTTAGCCCAAAGATTCAACATTTTCAATAGTATAAAAGGTTTGCTGAGACATGAACTCTGCACATGCACAGAGGCTAGATCAGCTAAACAAAAAAAAGGGGGGGAGGAAAGAGAGAGAGAGAGAGGAAGGAGGGGAACTGTAGGGGGGAGAGGAGGTTTCGAGAGCTTGGGCTGCAGGGAGAAACTTATCCAAATTTCCTTATGTGAAACTTGGAACGATTGAGGGAAATCACCCTTAATGTGTCCTTTGCTCCAGGGGCTACGTAAGACAAAAGGGTTAAGTACTAGCCCATCAAAAGTCAAGAGGTTTCCAGGTTTCAAATCTTAACATGCCAAATTCTTTTCACAGGTAAATATCAAAGCGCTCCCACTGTGAGTTCCACTCTTGACTAGTTCTCCCACCCCCAATGGGATTTAACTTTTATAACAGGCTTTGTGTGCATTATAGGAACAGCATTCCTGACAGAGATTTTCAAAGGAAATAAAAAAATAAAAAAATAAAATTCCCTTTAAAACAGGATACGTGAACTCGGACCCACATAAGCAAAATGTTTAATAACTTGCCGATTGTGTTCAAATTAACAAAGGTTTTGTCCCTTCGTTTCTTCCACAGCCAAACTAAGTGAAGGAAAGCAAACAAACTTGGCAGATAATAACAGTAATTATCTGGAAATGTGATAATAATATTGGAATGAATGAAATGCTTAATCTGCTAAGATTTTTATTATTTGCAGCTTCCAACGGAAACTGAAGGACATCCTTTTTGCCTTTTGCCCCTTCCCTTTTCTAACTCTGTCTTTTAAGTCCCCAAACCCTGCCCCTTACAGGATATCACTTCTACAGATGTGTTACTACAGATCCAATGAAAAGCTTCGCCACCACAAGACTATTACCTGCAGCAGCAACAACAACAGACACCAAAGTTTTCAAAGTGGCCACAGCAATTTCTTTCAAAGGGGAAGTGCGGCTGACAAAGGGGGGGTGGAGTTGAATTGCAAGGACATCTTCTCACTTTTGAACCTCAAGTCTGTGCTCCAGGATTCAAAAGATACATACATAAAATATCCCAATTGTCTCAAGATATGCAACTGATATTTAATTAGTTTGTTTTGTATTATGTGTTATTACGTAGGAATGTTGAAATGTGTCTGACAGTGTGTTATTTCCACAAATCGGGGGCTATTTTGTGTGTAATTGTTTTTATGTTTAATGTCTTATTCCTTACACCCCAGTGGAGGATTCTCATACATTTTATGCGTTCTAATAGGTCAGGCTATTGTGTAGTCAAATGTTTAGGATTAGATAAATTTATAACCACATTTTGTTGTTTCACCTGGCACTCTGCCAACTTCCCTACCCATTTTAAATGTGCTAAAACTCACTTTACCAAGGAGAAGCTTCAGGAAGGTGTATATGCTTTGGTTTAGCAGGAATAATCCCTTATAGAGTTAAATTGACTTATTTGGATGGTTTTGTTTTAACAGAAAAGTTGAGAACCATGGGGCAAGAAAAATTCAAATTGGACTCAGTTTGAATTGGGCAAGTGTATCCAGGCTGCAATTAGCTCTTGGTCCTTAAAGTGCAAGTGAGCAACTTCCCATGACTGCAAGACCAGAGCCTATAATAATAAAATCCCATAGAATGGCCAAGGCAAAGACATTTCTCTCATGATGTGTCCAAACCTGTGCCAGCTGTGGTGAGTGCCAGGCAACATGGTTAACATGAAAGCCCTAAGTGGATTCACCAGGGATTGCCACTACTGTGACACCATGCCGATGTGAGACCACAGAAGAGCTACCTTGACACCTGAGAACACAAAAATGGCGGGGGACAAAACAAACTGCATTTTTCAGTCATTAGTGGACCTTCCTGCTAAATGTAAAGCATAGACCACTACTGAGAAAATATTTCTTCCAAGGTGCTAAAATACCACAAGTAATTGAGCAACAAAATATTAATTTTACGTGATATCCTATGTCTAACTATGTGCACTGTTACACTGTTATATTTCTATGCAAATATCCTTAAGAAGCATGACATCCAAGTTCCTTTCAGGTTCACATGGACACACGCATCTGGGACGGAGAATAGCAGGTTAATATTTACCACCTTAAATTGTGCGGAGAAAAGGATTGCAAAGTAGCCACCTTTGCAATCTTATCTCCGAAGGGGGGAACTGTAGCAGGAACCCCCCACCCCAATCATTGAGTTTGTACAAACTTCACGCACTCACACTCACACACTACATATGCCACACTTCTGTTATAAATTCATAGAAAAATCAACCATATATCGGATTTGCACTGTTCCATTTTTATTTTACTCCATATGACAAGGACTATCAAAGGGGGGTGGCTTGGTTCTGGTCAGCCATAATCCCTTCACCATCCCAGCACATCCACAGGAGCCCTGCCCAGTTGCTATGCCAACCCTGATGGTCCTAGACAGAAGACCATCAAGATCACAAAGAACTTGCATATGGGAGTGGATTCAGCATGGACTGAAACAAAGGACAATGATCAGATCTTCCCTCTGGGGGCAGGAAACTGCCAACTCCCCTTTGTCTCCTGGAAGTGACTCATGGGCAGGGGGAAGGAGGAACCAGCCAGGTGACAGGACACTCAGGTTACCACCTCAACCCCTCCTTTCTGTAATGTATGCATGATGTCAACCCCTCCTTTCTGTAATGTATGCATGATGTTTCTGGGGGTGGGCTTGACCTAGAGGATGGGAATTTCAAAAGTTTTTATAAGGTCTTGCACACCATCTTTCTGGGTCTTTCCTCTCTCTTGCAAGTGAGGGGAACACCCTGTTGCAACAGTTCAATAAAGGCCAAGCCTACAGGCTGCTGTTTTGCTCCAAGTTATCCTGGTTGGTGTCTTTGTTTTTGTCCAAGGGAGCCCTCGGATTTTTCCGGTAACAGTTGTGATCATGAGCAGTTTTCTTCCCTGGGGACATACTGAGTCTTTGCTTTAGCAGTTGCTGGCCACCAGAAATAAACTCAAATGGGAGCATCCAGCTGCTTGAGTGAGAAGTCAAAGATACTGGCTTATCTTGAGGGAAGGGCTGGAGACCTGACAGGGTAGATACAGGGTGGATATGGATTGAAGCTGGCATTGTGTGTACACCGCTTCCCAAAGAAGTGGTGGGATTACATTGCATGCAGAGTAAACGAAAGTGTGTCACAGCCTAGAATGGAGGGTGTTCAAGAGCCCTTGGTTGGGGAGACGCTCATACAGGAGTGTGTGGGCTGGAGCCCTTCAGGCATGGGTGTAGTTAAGGGGGGTAGGGGGCAGGGGGTAGCTGCCCCCTAAATCAATACAAATCTGAGGTTCTGCCCCCTAACCTAACAAAAGCTTGCCCCCCCAAACAAAAACCCTGGCTACGCCCATGCCTTCAGGTGATTTCAAATTTAGATGGTACCTAATGACCTAATAATGGGGTGAGGGTGGCACTGTGGTCTAAACCACAGAGCCTAGGGCTTGCCGATTGGAAGGTCGGCAGTTTGAATCCCTGCAATGGGGTGAGCTCCCGTTGTTCAGTCCCAGCTCCTGCCCACCTAGCAGTTCGAAAGCACGTCAAGTGCAAGTAGATAAATAGGTACCGCCCCGGCAGAAAGGTGAATGGCGTATCTGTGCACTTCTCTGGTTCACCAGAATAGGCTTAGTCATGCTGGCCACTTGACCTGGAAGTTGTCTGCGTACAAAGCTGGCTCCCTTGGCCTATAGAGCGAGATGAGCGCGCAACCCCAGAGTTGTCTGCAACTGGACCTAACAGTCAGGGGTACCTTTAATAAGACCTAATAAGTACATGAATAAAAAAGTATTTGCAGATTCTACACCTCAGGGGTGCCTCAGGGTTCTGTCCTCTCCTCCATGCTTTTTATCATCTACATGAAGCCACTGGGAGAGATCATCAGGGGGTTTGGGCTGGGTGTTTATCAGTATGCGGATGATACCCAGCTCTACCTCTCTTCTAAATCAGAACCAGTGAAGGCAATAAAGGACTTGTGTGAGTGTCTGGAGGCAGTTGGTGGATGGATGGCAGCTAACAGATTGAGGCTGAATCCTGACAAGACAGAAGTACTGTTTTGGGGAGAAAGGGGGCGGGTGGGTATGGACCCTGTGGTGCATGCTCTGGTTATCTCCCGCTTGGACTACTGCAATGCGGGGCTCTATGAGGGCCTACCTTTGAAGGTGACCCAGAAACTACAACTAATCCAGAACATGGCAGCTAGACTGGTGACTGGGAGTGGCCACCGGACCACATAACACCAGTTCTGAAAGGCCTACAATGGCTCCCAATACGTTTCCAGGCACAATTCAAAGTGTGGTGCTGACCTTTAAAGCCCTAAACGGCCTCAGCCCAGTATACCTGAAGGAGCGTCTCCACCCCCATCGTTCTGCCCAGACACTGAGGTCCAGTGCTGAGGGCCTTCTGGCGGTTCCCTCTCTGTGAGAAGTGAAGTTACAGGGAACCAGGCAGAGGGTCTACTTTGTAGTGGCACCCACCCTGTGGAATGCCCTCCCACCAGATGTCAAAGAAATAAACAACTATCTGACTTTTAGAAGACATCATACTAGGGAAGCTTTTAATATTTGATTAATTATTGTATTTTAATATTTTGCTGGAAGCCGCCCAGAGTGGCTGGGGAAACCTAGCCAGATAGGCAGGGTATAAATAATAAATTATTATTATTATTATTACTACAAGGGAATTTTGATGGAACCTGGTACAGGAAAAAGGAGGGTTCCAAACATTATACAAAATATTCCATACTATTAAACCAACTGTTGGGGTTCTTTTTTAGCTATGGTACTTTGCTATTGGCTTTTTGGTATAATGGTTAATCAGGTCTTCCACATAAGTCTACATTTTTTTCAGAAGCAGAATCCATTTTGTAACTATATGTTTTGTCTGCTTAATTTTGAATAGAACAGAGGAACTTGCTTTGTTCCATGTCTGAATCTTGTGACTGAATTCATCATTTATTGTCGTCATTATTATTTCTCCTGAGGACTGCTCAGTTTAAATTTCAGTCAGGAAAAGTGGGGGAAGAGGGAGACAAACCCATTACCTACACTCAGTTATAAAATCCTGCTGCTACTCAGCTAGAATATAAATTCACTGAGTTGGGAGAATAGGGCATCAATCAAAATCAAATTGCTTTGGGGAAACTGAATGTCTTAGAGAATTAGGGATGTGATAGAGATTATTTCACCATTGCCGTAGGTCACTAATTGGAATCCATCTCAAATTAGCAATAGTGACCTGAATTTAGGAGTGAAAGACATTTTGTAATCTTTAAGGAATTAGTAGGTGGTGCCAGGCCATGGAGCCATGCAGTTAAATGCTAGTTTAGAGTTGGTAGTAGCTTCATTACAGATGTTAACTCTTCCTGGATTTGAAACTGTCTGAAGCCAGGGGTCAGCAATTTATGGTTCATGGGCCACAAGTGGCCTACGGGGCTGTAGACTGGCACAGCGTGGTGGGGGACTTGCTTCCACAGCACCGGAAATCGTGTCTGTGTGGAGGCAAATGCTGGAAATCGCGTCTGTGCAGAGGCAGATGCCGGAAATTGTGGGCGCACGCACAACCTGGCCCACAGAGCGATGTCTGCGGGAGTAAACTGGTCCAGGCAGGGTAAACCTTGCTGACCCCTGGTCTGAAGCCCTTTCAGGGCACACAATAATGGCATGAAGATAATTGCATGCTTGCTCACCACCCCTGCCCCTGCGGCCTGATCACATCCTGTGCTGTGTCTTCCCCAATGCTCTCCATGCATTTGAGTTCCACTTCATAGGGACAGCCTACTTTTGCTCAGCACACTGCTCTGCAGCAAGCATCCTCCCAAATACGCAGACAGTGTTCAGCCATTCCATCTCTCACAATAACCAGAGTATGACCTGAACATGTGGATGACATTTCAAACAAACCTGCAGAACCTTTGGCACACCAACCCAAAGACAGCACACTTTCAAAATGATAGTCTACCAAGGACTTTATAAAACAGTTTTTTGCTGCCTGTCTGGGACTAAGAGAAAGAGGATTGTCAAGCCTATGACAAGTCGATACATTGCAGATGGCCTGCATTTGGGTCACATGAGTCACAGGTTATAGAGGTTTTCTACTCCATCAAGCAAGTGTGATTATCAGTGGGTTCTTTTGCCTCATGTTTATTATTCATTCTTTCATCAAACAAACCAGCTTTGTGTGGCTGTGTGGGAACACTGACATTGCAACATGATTAAAGAATCAGGTTTATAAGTAAGGCCAAACCGTGTTTATAAATCAGGTTTATAAGTAAGGCCAAACCGTGCCTGGCCTTACTTGGACCCACACACACTGACGTGGGAAAAGACTTTCACAGAAGCCATAGACATAAACCCTGGATAAAGGTAAAGGTAAAGGGACCCCTGACCATTAGGCCCAGTCGTGGCCGACTCTGGGGTTGCAGCGCTCATCTCGCTTTATGGGCCAACTGCGCCCCCGCAAGAGATGGGAGTTGCCCCCCCAATCCCATATCGTCCCGTCCCAGCCGCAGGACCTCTGTCTTCGAAGGATTTAGCTTCAACCGGCTCCCACGTAACCATCCAGCCACAGCTTCCAAACATCTGGTCAGTGTGTCTGGGGCCGAGTCAGGATGGCCATCCATCAACAGATAGAGTTGGGTGTCATCAGCATATTGATGGCAACGCAGACCAAAACTCCGGACAAGCTGGGCGAGGGGGGCGCATAAAGATGTTGAAAAGCATCGGGGAGAGTATCGCACCCTGAGGTACTCCACACACCAAGGAGTGGCGCGATGACAATTCGCCCCCAAGCGCCACCCTCTGTCCCCGACCAGAGAGAAACGAGCGCAGCCATTGACTCCATATATATGTTTGTGTGTATATAGTTACAAAAGTTGGGTGCCTCCCCCCCTCTCTGATGAGTGGTGACAAGAACCCATGAGGTTCTGGGCATTCATCCAGGGTCTGTGGTCTTATGGATAATTGAGACATGGTGGAGACTGTAGTAGCTTTAAGAAATATGGTTTATTCACATATTTATGCCTTTAGTCTGCATGGAGGGAGTCTTACAGCATGGTCATTTGAAGAAGGGCTTGTACCCCACAGCAGTGCAGCCCTGGAGTCCAAGGCATCTCTTGAAGTCAGTCTGCAGCCAGGGGTAGGCAACCTAAGTCCTGTGGGCCTTCTAAATCCGGCCCACGGATGGTCTGGGAATCAGGGTGTTTTTACATGAGTAGAATGTGTTCTTTTATTTAAAATGCATCTCTGGGTTATTTATGGGGCATAGGAATTCGTTCATTTCCCCCCTCCAAAATATAATCCGGCCCACTACATGCTCTGAGGGACGGTGGACTGGCCCACAGCTGAAAAAGATTGCCCAAGATTGATCCTAGACCTTCATCCCAACAACCCTTGCTCAAGACTCTTTTTGTCACCTCACTCTCAGTTACCCTGCAACCTTCCAAACCCAGTCTCTGTTCAAACCTCAGGGCACGAAGAACAGTTCTCCTGCATTGCCCATTGCCAATTCCCAAACACCCCAAATAATAAAAATCCTACCATTTATTACCTACCATTTATTAATTTCTAGGGTTTAAGTGGGCCCCCCTCCCAAATCTATAACAATATATATTGTATAATGCGCTGTAAATATATTAAAACCCACTGGTTTAATTTTTATTTAAACCAAATACTCAGCTTTTCCATATGGCTAAAAATAATACAAATAGAAGTGAAGCAAAATGCTCATCAAAAAAACCATATTTTGGATTATTTTCAATTTATTTTATTTTCCCTTCATTTTTATTAAATTTCTATACTGCTCTTCTTCCAAGAATCACAGGGTGGC